GCCCCCCTCTCCCTGCCTCTAGCAGCTCAGACATGCGGTTCTAGCCCCACCGGAGGCTGCAGCCTGAGTCACAGGGCCCCGTGTGCCAGGCAGGGGAGGGGCTGCGGGAATGCCCCCTACCTGGGCCACATCTCCCAGGACTTTTGCTCCCAGCCTGTGTTCCGGGACGGCACCCGCTGCTCCAGCTGGCGTGTGCTGCTCTGGGGCAGGCGTCGTCCCAGCTCCGTGCTGCTCTGGGCCACCTGCCTCGAGGCGCCTGGCCTGGGCTCCGTGACATTAATGACCTTTGGATGTTAATCTGGCCCCACCTGGTTGGGGGGAAGGGGGAAAGCTGCTCCGCATGTTCCTGTTCCACCCCCGTGGGGCAGGTCCGGAGCTGGGCTCCGAGTCAGCCTCCCTGCCAACCCCTCCCCTGCACGGCCAGGTCTGACACGCAAGGTGCAGTTAGCGGATCAGCCCGTGGGCGGCTGCAGGATCCAACCTGCCACCTGCTGGAGGGAATCGGAGCTCCCCATTAGCGCAGAACTATCACTCTCATTCCCAGCGCCCGGAGCCAGACATGTCATGGAGCCAGTCAGAACCAGCGCCCCCTAGTGGGGAAAGGCCCCATTGCCCAGCCCCCTGCACCAGCCCGTCCCCCTGCCCTGGGCCAGATCAGAGCTGAATCCCCTTAGAAGAAACATTCCTCACATCCCCTCCGGGATCCCTCGGCAAAAGCAACGTCTCCCATTCTCAGCTGTGGGGTATCAATGCCCCTGAATAACCCCGCCCAGCGCCCTGAATCTCTTCCCCGCCCTCCCCACTCTGTCCCTGACATAAGCCAGCCCCTTGACTGGCATTAGCCACATCACACGGGATTCCCCGTTGCAGCAAATTCATCCCTCTCCCTAGCACCCCTGTCTGGCCATGCCTGGCTCCTCTCCAGCCCGGAGCACCCCCTAGTGTTCCCAAGCAGGCATTGTGGTTGTTTGTTTCTACTCTGTATCGCAGTCCAGCCCACTGAAGTTAGAAGAATTACAAAGACTTCCAGCTTACAAATATGCATTCAGAGATGTTTATTGAAGCAGGGAGATACATTCCCAAAGATTGGAGACCTGGTTTCCTCCTAGAAGCAAATAATTTTGCAGTGGAGATGCAAAGCTGCAGGGCAGTTTTCCAGACTGGAGATATTTAATTTGCAGTCAGTAGGGTTCAGAGTTAATAGCCTATTTCACAAGTTAACTGCACCATGGAGCTGTGACTATAGACTCTTAGCAGATGCAGAAGTGGGTGAGCCAGGAAGATGCTTTCATTGCCCTTTCAAAAAAGATACCAATGCAGCGCCACCTTCCTGAGCCTGCTCACAGCCTTGTGGCATGTTCTCATGTCTGATAACTCTGAAACCTACCTGTGGCAAGTAATATACCATCATCAATTTTGCCTGTCTCAGCAGGGAACATTTAATTAGATAGTAGATGTGGCCTGCAAATACAGGATGAGCTAACCCACTGTCAAGCTGCAGGATGATTGTGGACAAATTTCCTGATGAACCCTTCCTCGGGGCTCCCAGCCCATCCACTGGGATTTAGAACTCTGCCCATGCATGGCAGTTTCTGCAGAGGGTTGATCACTGATGCCGGAATCGTTAGGGGCTGATTTTTGAACCTTCTGGTCTGTTTTCAACTGGACGCACTAGCTTGATCGTTCCAGTGGGTGGATGGGTCCGTGGAGTGATGGATTAATTGCACTGCCTGCATTCATTGGTTCTTTGGATGTCACTGCCAAGCAGGAGCGACAGCACGAAGCCCAGTAGCATGAGCAGAGCGGGAGCCAGGAAATGCTCAGACAGGGAGCGCAATTGACCGGTGCACAGCCAGCCCCCTCTCCGATCCCCTCTCTTAGGGGCTCACCAGAAGGCCTTTGCCTCCTTCCCCTGGGCTGTGCTCTGCCGCGGGGGCTGGGAGACATAGTCGGAGCAGCTCCGACCCCCGAGGTGAGGCCCACAGAGCAGGCTGTACTGGAACCAGACGCGGCCGTGGTTCATGTAGCAATCCTTCTGGTGGGGCCCCCCGGACTCCAGCGGGATGTCGCAGCTTCCCAGCAGGTCGTCATTCCCCTTGTCCTCGTCCCAGACCTGCACGCGGATCTTGCTGTTGCTGGTGAGGCGGACGGTGCCAAAGTCCAAGTGGACGTTCCAGTAGGGGCTGTTGTTCTCCCTGACGGTGCGGGTGCGCATTTCCCTGCTCTCAAAGAAGACCTTGACATAGGCATCAGTATCACTAAACTGGTCCCCCCAGAGGCCGCTGGCCTTCTTCACAGTCACCGTCAGCTTCCCCAGGCCACGTTCCCGCGAACAGCACATGCCGTTGGTCTCAGCACTCCCAGGGCAGACACAGGAGCAGGGGTCGTGGGCGCTGCGCTGGGTCCCTGGGGGACAGCTCTTGGTGCAATTCCTCCACAGGGCCCTCTCAAGGATGTACTCACTCACCGCTCGCTTCAGCGCCTCCTGCTTGGAGTCATCCTGCTCCACCAGGCTGTGGATGGGTTTCAGGGAATAGGACACCAGGCCGGGGCTGGATTTGAGACTCTCTATCCAAGCTGAGAAGTCCTTGGTGCCTTTCCCAGAGAAGAGGACATCGGTTGTGCTGTGTCCTCCCTCCACCTCCACGTGACGCTCCTGATACATCTCATGGAAGCTCCCCCGAACCGTCCCCTTCTTCTTCTCCTCTTCGCACTTGCTGTACCCACCATGGACTGAGCCGGGTCCAATACTCACAGCTGCCTCTACGCTCAAACAGTCCTTGATTTCCTCAGTCGTCAGGCCACTCAGTGCCGCTTCGCAGACCCGCACGGCTGTCACGTCCCGCGCCCGGCCCCCCAGCTGCACCTGGGACACGTAGTGGGTGCCGTAGTTGCTGATGAGTTGCTGGTACTCCACCTTGGATTTGCTGTCGTACTGCTCCGGGAGGTTCTTCAGCGCCTCAGCGAAATGAGAGGTGAGGTGAGGGGTCCCATTTACCCATAACCTGCCCAGGGACACAAGGTGCGGAGTGAGCTCAGTGTCCTACGGCCCCGGCCAACCCAGAAGCAAAGATCTAAGTAGGTGGCTTACAGGGGAAAGGCCTGGTGTCCTATTCCCTGCTTTTCAGAGAGAGACAGTCCCCCTGCCCTGGAGCCGGACTAGAGCCAGCACGGCCTGGAGGAGGAAAGTCTCTGGCACTATGCGCTGTTGCTGTGACCCCTGTTACAGCTGAGCCCTCCCGTCCCAGCCCAGCACTCACCGGTAGTAGCTGCAGGAGACCTCGTGGCTCAGGAAGCTGTACTTGTCCATCCGCGAATGCTCCACCACGAAATCGGCCAGTTTGGAGTGTGATCCGGCCAGCTCCACCTGGACGTTCACTTTGGGCTTCACAGGCACGTCCAGCCCCACCTTCCAGTCGTTCTGCACCGCGGATGCCGCCAACTGCAGCATGCTCATCCCCGACTCCTTCACCGAGCTGCTGAGTTTCTTGCTGCACAAGCCAGTGGCAGCCTCTGCAACTGCCCGCCCTGCAGCTGGTTCTTGCACAGGGTGCAAGAGCCATCTGGGTGTTGCCAGGTGCTGCTGTCCACCAGGTAGGCTCCCTTCCTTTCCATCATGGTCACATCAATGCCCTCACCAACGAGGCTGTGACCAGGCACAAAGGCCGTGTGCTTCTTGCATTCATTGGCCGTGTATGTTTGACAATGGGAGGAAGCCCCAGGGAAGATGGAGAGGAGGAGGAGGAGAAAGATACCAAATCTGGGCATGGCTGAGGTGACGGGCTCCCCCTTCACCAACTTCAAAACCTAGAGGGAGAGACACAGAGAGGTGCAGAATTAGTGGCAATCCAGTGGCAGGCAGTTCCACAGGTTTACTCTGTTGTAGACACAGAGACACCTTCCTATCAATCATGACATCAGCCACGTTCTATAGGACACCTATGAAATTTCTGGCCTCTAGGAACCCTCCCGGCATTATGCAAATGATGGATGCCTCATTTGCATGTTTGACTACAGACTACCTCATATGCAGCATTGTCTTCCCCTCTGTTTTCCAGATGTTGTAATACCAGCACTAACCATAAGGGGGTGGTACAGTTTTACATGGCCACTTGACAGCCTGCAATAGAAGGGGTGATTGCAATTCCCCACTGAGCCACTAGAGGGCGGTGCTCTGTGACTAGAGCCCAGGACCTGTAATTGGTCGGTGGCTTGCAAGAGATTGGCCCCCTGGCTGGTGAGGGGGAGTTAGGACCATGAGGGTCTGTAGAAACCTTTGGGGGCCCCTAGTGGCCATGTTTAACCACTGCAGGAGGGTCATTTTGGGAGGTTTCTCATGGTCAGCATCAGCCCTAGCACCTGAAGCTGCCACCTTTAAATGGGGCTGCTGAGGAAACATGGCAGGAAGCTGCCTTGAACAGACTCTGGGCCCATCTAGTCCCATATCCCGCCCCTTCCCTTGAGCCCTTGATCAGATCCATTGACCCATTTGCCCGTACATCCTATCCCCTTCCCTCTGCTACAGATGCTGTCACCTCTTTCCCCCTTCTTTGTGTCTGTGGCTCTGCGCCTCATAATTTGCATAAGAATGTGTTTTGAATATGCATATGCATAACTCCAATATGCAAAGTGGGGCACACAACCGATCTTTGGAGATCTTGTCATCCCCTGATGGTGTAGTTGGTAGTTGTCTGTACACATCATTCTTGGATGAGATGATAGACTTCTGAAGTGTAAGCCCATTTATATCTCTACATATGCTATGAAGGGAATTAGCAGTACGCAAGGAACTTAATGGACTAATGCTCGAGACAATGATCTGTGAATAGTCTTGTTTTTCCTATAAGCCTGGATTGTGGTTGGTCCTACCAAGACAGGTGACCATGTCACCTGGTGCTGGAATCCATCTTGACTGTTGTACTTTTCAGTGGGGGGAGAAAGGGGTGTTGGAACTGAAAGTTTTATTCTTTTTATATTTCTTATTTTAGGTTTAGTAATGTAGTAATGTAAGGTAATATATAATCATATTTAATATTGTAGTAAGTCAAATCCTTTAGTTAAGTATATATGTCCTATATTTCCTTCTTCTAAAGTTTAGTAAGTAAAGAGACAGGATCTCCTATTGTGTCTATGGGTAAGTCTACATTTGCTCCCTAGTTCAGACTAGGGATGCAAATGTAGGCGACCGAAGTAGTTAATTAAGTGGGGATTTAAATATCCTGCACTTCATTAACATGATCTCGCCGGTGCGCTGGCTCGAATCACAGCTTATTCGAACCAGGAAATGCGTGCTGGGACACGGTAGTTCGGACCAAAACCCTTGTTCCGAACTAATGTTACTCCTCATTTTTTGAGGACTTTGGTCCGAACTACTGCGTCCTGGTGCGCACTTGCTGGTTCAAATCAGCTGTGATGCGAACTAGCACACCAGCGAGATCATGTTAATGAAGCGCGAGATATTGAAATCCCCAATTCATTAACTACTTTGGTCGCCTACATTTGCATCCTTAGTCCGAACTAGGGAGCGAATGTAGACATACCCTATGTTAATTAGATTAGAAATATCGAAGGCCTGGTCCTCCGATGTGAACTGTTTTGATTTTGATTTTGCTTAATATAAAACAGTATTGTTTACTTTTGAAGGAGTTTGTGTGAGAGATTGTATGAGTGAGATACGGTGTGAAGGTCATCGTTAGAGCCAGATGGTCAAGAGAGAAGGGGGAGAATGTGGGGTGAAGACAAACTGTAAAAGACAGACTGCAAAGACATATCGACATCAGAGAAACTGTCAGTGCGTACCCACAGTCAAGAATGGATCAGATTGGCAGAATTGACAGCTCTAAAGGTGAAGGGCAGGCACACCTAAAAACAACTGATTAACAATCCAGGACAGGTTGAGCCTTCAGGAGATGTCTGGGAACGATTGACATCAACAATTTAACACGCCGGTCACAGACTGACACAGCGGAATACATGGATTTCAACAGAGAAAAGGATTATAAAAGTAGGGTGCTTTGCCATGGAACTTTGGGTTCATCTTGCCAACACCAACTCCAGAGGAGCATCGGAGCGATTGACCGACAAAGGCCTTGCTCCCCCCGTGTTCAATCTAGCTGGCCACTAGCTTGATACAGAAAAGTGCTTTTGGGAAAAAGCATCCTGCCAATCTAGACGCACTTTTCCGAAAATGCTTTTAACGGAAAACTTTTCCGTTAAAAGCATTTTCGGAAAAGTGCGTCTAGATTGGCAGGATGCTTTTCCGCAAAAGCACTTTTTCCGGAAAAGCTGCTGATTTTCCGGAAAAACTTGCCAGTCTAGACACAGCCCTGGTGTGTGTTGTTTGGGTGTATGAGTGATTGAAAAGCATATGCAACTGTTGCATTCTCGATAAATGTGGCGTCCTGCCGTTTCCCCTTTGAAAGATCTCGTGTGCTTTGTTTAAGCAGAGAACAGTGGGGAGAATTGAACAAATGCTACCCACCTTGGGGAAATTCTGTACAAAGAACTAGAAGATTTTCCCGGCGATGCTCAAGTCCTAAACTCATTTTTTGTTTTTCTTCAGTTCTATCATTGCTCTGGGGTGGGCCTGGGGGGTTAGTACACAGGCTGCCCTGGGGAAAGAGGACAGGCCCAGCCCTCTCACACTGCAGCAGCGTGGGGCCAGGTGAGAAGTGCCTCTCCGTGGCTGCTGCAGCTCCAGCGCGCAGGTCCAGGTTGTCTGCCCTCTGCACCTCCCAGCCAGTGAGGGATGCAGCAAACTGCTCATTCCCCTCGCTCCCCGAGGAAGGGGAACAGCCGGAAACGTTTCTGTGTGATCGGGGGGAGCTGTGATCACTAGGCAGGTGATTGTCCCGAGAGGGGGAATTTCAGCCTCTCCTCCAGCACAACGAACCCCTGACCTTGTTTTAAGTTATGACAAGAGGAAGCTGCAGGCCAAATTTGGTGTTCCTAGCTCTCACTGCCTAGGGCGAGTTCTTGAACCGACAGAGGCTATATCTAGACTACTTTTTTTTTTCTGAAAGAGGATATGCAAATTCTGCGGGAATGATGCAGATTCCACAGCAATTTGCATATCTTC